GAAGGGCCGTTTCCAAGCAGTGGAAGAGGTTTTCCGCACAAGTCCGAGCGATCCAGAATATCAAGATCCAAAACGAAAACGCAAGATCCAAGATCCAAGATCCAGGCGCAGAGCAAGCGAGCTCAAGCCATTTCCAAATTGGTAGTCAAGTAGCTAAGTCTCCGCAAGCACCATGCTTTCTCCGGGCGACATTGTCCGTATCTACCCCGAAAACGTGGCCCTACTCGTAGACGATATATCCACAGTGGCCTACGGCACGGTGCGCAGTGCGGGACGTCGGTTAATGATCGACGTGACCCCCGATGAGTCCATTTCCGAGGAGCTGTCGCTGCCGGTCGCAGCAACTAACGATCAGTTCACGGTGGTCACCGCGGCAGAACGCGACGCGGGCACCCACAGGCTCGTCCGGCGATTCGTCGTTGCTCGCGTCGAGAACCACTGGTTGCATGGGCAAGTGCGCCGCGCCGACCACTCGGCACGGACGGTTCAACTAACGTCACGCCGCGGAAGACTTACGGTAAGCCAAGACGCCGTCCAGCTCGTCCTTCCAGTCGTGGCTGCGCTGCTCTGGGACACCGAATGGCCGGCGGCCGACGACAACGCGCCGCGTGAGGCCACGGGCATCGCCACGGCGACCCTGCTCAGACGCCACCAGAACATATGGCGCCGCATCCGACCCCGCACGGATCTCGAGACACCGTCCCGCGACATTGCGGCAATCTTGGCGGGTTACGACGTCCCCAACGTCGCGGGTCTGGGTGCGGTCCGTCTTGGCATCTGTGACCCACGCTCTGGGCTTGTGCTCAACCCATGTGTCCAACACATTGTCGACTTCGCCTTTCACGCCGATGGCGGCTCCACCGATCCCAACCTCATGGAGCTTGGTGAGTCGTTTTGCCACGACCCAACGGACACCGACGCACCACCGCCGCTTACATTTGAAGACACCAACGCAGGAACTGCTGCTACGACGCAGCGTCTGCTCGCCACGAACACGGAGCTCACGTCGGAACCGGAGAGGATCTTCTTCCCTCCCCCTCGTGCCGGTGCGGGCGCGTCAATGGTCGACCGTTTTCTCGACAGCATGGCAGCACGCACAGCTCCTACGACAACGGTGACAGACGAACCCGAGCTGGACAGTCGAAACTTGCCTCATCCACCACCAGCGGTAGTCCAAGCCGTCACCTACGCGGCCAACCCGGGCCGCGGTGTCATCGCGCCATCCGTCACCGAATTCGCCTCAGAGTTCCAGCGCGAGCATCGCGCACGCAGCCGCGCCGCTGCTACCCGGACACTCTCAGAGTACATTGAGATTGCGGCGGGCCCTCAACACTCGAAAAGCGCGCTCAGGGTCTCGCGGGCCCAAGCTGAGGTCCACTGGTGGATCACGAACGCGCAGTTTCAAGCGGCGCTACCCATGGAGTTCATTGCAAGTGTCGTCGGGTGCGAGGCAATCCGGTTTCCCCCGCATCCCGGCACTCTCGCCTATCTCTTCGACTGGCGGTTCGGCTCTGGCATGCTCTCGATTGCGCACTTTTTCCCGCTCTCCAAGCACCTGCGCAGCTCATGGAACGACGATGCACGCGTCAGTCTGAGCCATTTTCCCGGCAGTCTGACCCCACCGAAGCCGCGCCACTCCATTGCCTCTATCGACAACATTCGTGCGGCGCTACACGCTTTGCTCGACTATGCGAACGCATTCGGCTCCACCATCCTCGTCGCAGTTGTGGAGGCCGCGCTCGCGCTGGCCTTGGTTCTACTCGACGACAACGACGATTTTCCGGACAGTGTGACGCACGTCGTGCTGCAATGGTTCAACGACCGCTTCGCGGTTTTTGGTGCTTACCTCGCGGCAGCTGCTAACGGCAACGCGAGCGTCGTCACGGCCATCGCGAGCTTTCCGGGCACATTTGCAACCGAAGGGCCTGCGTACCAGAAACTCTTTCTCAAAGTCCTGAAGCATACCCCACCGATCGGCAACACCGAGCCGGGTAAAGGTGGCAAACCACACGGCGGTGGCAAGCAGAAGGCTACGCCAGGACGCGGCGCCGGCGGTAACCGTCCTCAGGCACCAAGCAACCCTATCCCACCCGACGTTCTCGCAGCGCTACCAAAAGACGGCCCATTCCCGATCTGTTTGCGAAACTTGTCGAAGCTTCCCTGCTCCAATACGGTCAAGGACAACGCGTGCACCGGTTTCGATGGTCGGGTGCGCAGTCACAAAGTCCCGCTACCTCTCGCTGACGTCGTGCGCAGCTACGTGACGGCGCGATGGGGCGGTCTGCGCGCGGATATGGCACTGTGAAGCGGCCAGGGCGGGCACTCGCGCGTCCCGCCTTGGCCAAACCGCGTTTTCGCTGCCGCTCGGCCCGGACGCAGCAGCAGCACTGAGGCAGTTCTGACGGGGTCTACTGCCACTCGGTCTATGGGTGCGTCTTCGGACGCCACCGGGGCACGCGCGGCTCGGTCGC